CATCCTCAATGACCCGTCATCACAGTCTCGTCCTCTCAGATACCCCTGTGCCGCACCGGGTTGGAACGCCGTAGAAGTTCTATGGCGCCACGGTCGGTCCAAACGCGCGGCCCGAAGGAACTGCAGGGAAGCAACAACCTGGTGGACTTCCTGTCGTCGGCCTTGGCCACATGGCGGTCTCAATGGTCTCATGGTCTTTTCGGCCCAAGCATTTCCTGGGCCAGTGGCGAGAGGTGATAAGATCGTTTGCCTTATCGTGAGTCCCAAATAAGGCAGGACAGTGGCAGGGCCAACCCTGTATTGAATAAAGGAACGATCAGGAAACAATAGGTTTCCCCGTACAGGCGCGAAGTTTACCAAGGTACATATGTCACTCTTTAGTTGAGTTTTCAATGTTTGGTTGGATGTCCCCGAATCATCCCGAATCAATAGAAACGACTTTCAACAGTCTAACATTTTTTGGCGTCCACCACTGGATTCAGTTGCTTCAACCGGAAGAGCGCCACCCAGGTTCAGCCCGGCAAAGCGGCAGAACCGTGAGAACTCGCTAGTTCTCGGAGTGGCCATGCCGGTTCTGTGAGGCGGGAATCGATGACCCAACGGTTGGGTGGAGCTTCGAACGGTCAACAGGGTTCGGTGGACCCCCATGCCATGGCCTTTCTCAGAGGCCATCGGCTTCCACCGTCGTTGGTGGTCTTGAAATGTCTTGTGTCTTCCACCATCCAAAGTGGGTGGGGCTGGTTGGCCATTGTTGGAAGTAGGATGATGTAGGATGTATATAAAACAGGTATAATTAATGTTGATGAACTTTGATTAACTATAGTAAATATATTCCACCTTAGGTCTCTTCAAAGTGTCCTCTGTGTCAGGCTTACGCTCTTCGACGTCGACAAGAAGATGTCCTTTCAGCGGCGGGCTTCCATCGGTGTGGGCTGCGTTGTGGCAATCCCTGCCGCCAGAAGTGCGTTGGATGTGGGGCAAAAGACATGCACAGCACTGCACTACTATACTGCAAATTTGGAATTCAGGAAGATCTTTGAGCATGCTACAGCAGCAACTCGTTCATTTAATTTTTTGTGATTATGTAATATTATGTAAATGTGTATATCAATGATTTCAAGCATATTCATCAGGTCGAGTCAACCGTCTACACTACAGCACGCACATCATCACCTCACATCTTAACATTTAGAACACTTCTCGGAGGCTTCCGATCAACTTTGTAAACCTCCTTCGCGCCCCCCCTGCGCGGAGTCGCGCGGAGTCGGCCGCGGCAACCGCAGTGAAACAGTTTGCATGACGTGGTCCATGTTTTTGAGGCAACCACGTCACGCAGTTTCAGTGGTTAATTTTGCAAGTGGCTATGCCTGGTCAGTCCACAACCCAGGCAGGTACATGGAATATGAAGCGGCGGCGGCCTGGCTCCGGCTTCGCTTTCCGCACAGGGGCGGAGGCGTTATAGATTAAGCCCGGGGCAAAGATCAGCAACCTGAAGTCACCCGTAGCCTCCCTCCAAACATAGGTTTTGTGTAAACAAACACATGTTTAACAGTCTTTAAAGGAACTTGCAGTACAGGAAAAGCATAGGATGGTGCCACGATGTGCCACGTTCCATTTCCTTGCTGAGGAGATAATAAAAGGTTTGAACATCCCCTCAACCTTGGAAAATTACAACCAGGGGTTATGTCACCTGAAGTAATTAATTCATGTGTTTGACACTTAATTGGCATATTATATTGGTGTGTCTATTTTCTTGGTTTTGGGTTTGGCACCCCCGCTCATCCAGTCGTCCACGTCACTTGGACGACCATTTTTGCGGCGTCACCGTCATGAAATATGTTACGGAAGTGTTCAAGATGACATGTTACATGTTTGGACATTGATTGATGTGCTGCACTTTTTGAATTGTGCGCGCATGTTGGCACAGTATAACATTTGACACGTACCGCACCAGGATCCCATCACCCAAAAATTGTGAAAAATTCCAACATGTCCCACATTCCCGGGAATTAGTCTTATATTTCAGCGGTAATGAACCCCTGACTCTACCATATCATCAAAATGGTTTGTGGGTACCTGACATTTTGTGAGGACGGAAATCCGATGTGGCCACAGTGGCCCCCCCTAGCTAGGTGCTTTGGGAGATAGTTATCATTCCTGCGAACCAGCTTTTCCAAATCCAAAGGCATCCACCTACACAAAATTGTTGTTGTTGATGTGTGTAGGTGGATGGTTGGCCGTATGTGTGAACACTCCTGCTGAATAGATGCGCACTGATGTCCCAATGTGGAATTGCTGGGGCAAAAGCCTTCCCTCAGAGTTTTCCTTCCATCAGGAGTTCCATCCAGGGAGTCATCAGCAGCATATTCCCGCACAATAACACCCAGACACTCCATGTTTGCTATTTTACCTACATTGGGGTGGTTTCAGGGTATTATTCCATACATGGAGTGTTTTGGACAGGATGTGTGTTTCAGGAAGGCCCATGTTTTGCATGCCGGCAGCCCGTTTTGGACCTTCAATGCTCCACAGTACTTAAACGGGGCCAAGTTCGAGATCAGGGTCTATGAACTATGGTAATCCCTCAACTACCCCTCAGCTGACCTTTTCCCCTCCGAAATGGTGCAAGGTCGCCATTGATGCATGAGCCGCAACCCCCAGGAGCCAACCGCCAGCACTGTGGCATTCTACAAGACATGCAGCCATGCACCGCGACTTGATGTTCGGCTTGATGCAACATGACGAGATCCGCCTTGGAAATCCAGGGCTATTCAAAAAGATAGTGAACCTGGTGCTGTAGTGCAAAATCCTTAGGAAACAGCTCGGTGGCTTGGCAAATACCATTACAATAATGGTGGCCCGGGAGGCCTATAGGGACTAGTGATTTGCTGCCAATTGGCACCCATTCAGAAATCATCTCTCACTTTGACCAAGTCATATACGAAGCGGTTGGATTTGCCCAGTGCGGGCGGCTCGTTTTCATCCTGCCGGTGGTGGCCGAATTGTTAAAACCGTTGGCGTTTGGGGCGAGGAGCTCCACATCTCAGGGTCAACTGATGGCCGAACGTGGCCGACTGAGTAGCAGTGGCCGCACCGCAGATCGCTTGGAGATGTGGGAGGGTCCCAAGTGAGTGATGACTGAATGACATTGCGAATCACGAGGGCAGAAGACTATCTCCATACTGTACGCGGGAATCCTCAAAGTCTGCATAGTGTACGGAATGTTTGAGGAGGTTACATGGGCAAGAGTTGGTGGTCATGAAAGTCAATTCCCGAAATGATTTAGTAGGAGAGCCCTGATGATTTGTTGTGCTTCCAAATTGTGAGGTGCTTTGGGAACATGGCAGTCTCCCGTCATCTTCCTTCTCCTCCCGACGAGGGAGACTCCCGTCATCTCTCAACCGAAGATCGCAGAAGGCACAGGTCAGAACACTTGGGGGGCCTCCACACCTCCACTTTCAGAAAGCCTCTCCTGTGGGCGAATGTTCACGGCCAGCTTTTCTCAGGTTTTGAAGGAAAGGGTTTGCCGAGACATGAAGACTTCAGCTTTCAAAAATGCTACCAGTTGAATCGGTCCAGTCCTCCGGTTCTTAGGATTGATGGATCTTGTGGTTCTCAGAATCCGCTCCCTTGGTTCTGGCTCAAGCAGGGCCAAGTTTCATGACGGATCTCCAAGATCTCCAGGATCCCGGCCACGCATGTCCGACATGCAACTGCCAGCCGCGCGCACAAGATCGAGGCGTTTAAGGCATGTACGGCGTGTCAGCCGCGCGCACGCGGAGGCCCAAAAAGGAGCGCTGCCGGTGTGAGGTACCTTGAACGTCCTGACCTCCAATGCAGGGGAAGAGCACAAACTCATCCAAAATATGCCTACCAAGTCAGGAAGACTGGGTTCCTGAGAAGATTTGGTGACCTAAGCCGACTCAGACTTGACACTTGAGACTCATCTTAGCCAAAGGAACCTATTCCTTGGCCCTTCGTACCCATCAAAAGCCGTGTCAACAGACTTAAGCTCCCCCCATCCTGGTGTCCCAGACGTGACCACAGACGGACCAAGGAGGTTTCGACGTCTGGGTACAGTGACCCGAGAGCTCACAGAGTCGCAGGGCTTCATGGGCTTCATCTTCTTTGGCCATTAGGCGTCATGTTAGTCATGTTCCATGGATTTCCATGGATTTCCCTTGCCTCATCCCAAAGAAAACAACAAAATGAAGTACAAGCTCAGGTAAACTGGCGCAGGTTCCGGGACTGTGTTCACCCCGTCTCCACGGTCCCAGAACGCCCGTCGTTTTTTGCTGCTTGGGCTCGCAATCAGCCAGCTTGGCAGAAACCTGTCATGGCATAGCATGAAAGAGAATGTTGCCTGCACACATCATTAGATTGTTGATTGTTTGGACTTGGGAGAGGCCCTCCAAAAAGGCCTCCAAGGCCAAGACCTTCTGCGCAAGTGTTTTGCTGAAACAATCTTAGGCCTCAGCATGGCTCCAAACATCTCAGAGCTAGAGGCCCAGAAGCTTCCCAAACATGTGTGGACACGATAAGCTTTGTGTCAAAGCAGTTGCCCCATAGAATTACTGGTACAGTACCATGCATATGTCGCACAACGATTGATCCCAAGACCTCTCCTCAAATTACCAGCATGACGACTCCATTCTAGTGCATGCCAACAGAGGTTGAGGGACCCTATATCCCATAGGCACCCCAATAATTAGGATCTTATAAGGTCACTTAACCTCTCTTGGTGTTCCCTGCAAAGAAGACCGAAGACCAAGTCCGTCCAGCGACTGAACCACTGACCCTGCGACCCGAACAAACACCGTTCGACCTTCGAGGCCGGGTGCGTTCCCCGCACCCGTTACTACAGTGAGGAGGGCGTGATCAGTTTAGTATCATGAACAGCCCCCCTGTGGAGAAAGAGGACCTTGAGTTGTGCAATTATAGTTTCAATGGGCGTCCCTCCTCTCAGATGCCAACTCCCACCTGATTCACCATCCACACACCCAAAAACGCCAAAGCGGTGCTGCTGCGTTGGCACCTGGCCACCGCCCTCGCCATGTCGAAACCGGGATCCGTGCGCGCTTCCGTGCGAGATCACGAGGAGCGAACGCTCGCCGGTGCCGCGGACCCGATCCCCGGAACGCGACCCGATTGGAGCGTCGGAGCTCCCCAGCCACCGGAACACAGCGGCACCGTCGTTGGGTGTTTGGCCTCGGGGCTCGGGATCCATGTGCTGGTGCGGGACGGGTTTTGGGATGCCAGAGGCGCATGACGAAGACCCTCCCTGGCCCCACTGGCCCCGCAGTCCTGCAGTCCGCCTGTTCTGTGACGGACGTGTGCCGCTGTGTCGTGATGAGCTGAAGATCTGGAACGTCCAACAGCTAGGACGAGGCACGTTATAGGATTCAGGATGGACATTTTGCATTATACTCCTGGATCTGGATCTTGGGTTGGGCAAATATATGATCGACGTGTAGTGTTCGACTTTAGGGGAAGCTCTATAGAACGCTCTGAGAGGCTGAGTGTTTGCCATACAACGGAGCCTGCAAAATATGTCTTAAGTCAATGCGTCCCTGGGAAAATCCTTGGCGCAGTGTTCCCTGGGTTTCTCCATTTCTCCCAGTAGTTCCCACCACCTTTTGACTCACCACTCTTCACACTGACTCAGGTGGATGACAGTGTGGCTTCGCTGGGCTTCGGCTTCCTCCACTTGCCCCCCACGTGACCCGGTTCCGAAGGAAGCCGCGGCTTCGGTGGGGCCCGGCGGTGGGGTTCTGAGGTCGCGTCGGATAGGATTGGTGTGGATTTTGTGGATCTGAAGCTCAGTCATGGCTCATCATCAGTGTTTTATATATTGGCGCCCCTAAAGAGAAACCATCATGGACGTCAGCAAGTGCGGTGGAATATGTTTTTTTTTTAATCTTTTTCCCCAACTCTTGGGGCAAGTAAGCAAGTCAAATATGGTTTTGCCGTGCCCTGCCAGTTTTTGTTTCCATCCTGGAGATTGTCCACGCGAGCTCAGAATTTGAAGGTCCACTCTCCCCCATTCTGATGAAAACTAGGCAATCATTGCCTGATATTATGCAAAAAAAATGTTTGATAATGTCTGATATAATATATAGGTATACGTATTTTATTGTATTTGCCCTTCAACGCCTGCCGAGGAGACGTTCCCCGTTGGTGATCAAGACCGTCAAAAAGGACAAGGGTTTGCCTGTGCAGCTAGCATACGAGGCAGCAGGCTGAATTGCCCATGGGCTTTTGATGTGTTTTGCTCCCCAAGGTTGTCTGCATTCGACAAGGATGTTTGTGACAAAGTTGGTGTGTTGTCCCCTTGTACCTAGAAGCTTTAAATTCCTGTGAGCATTCCCAGACACCCCCTACAATGTGTGTATAGCATTTTCACGTTTAAACAACAAAAACATACACTGCAGCCCCATATGGAATCCTGCTAGTATTGATGCTCCGCTCTGCCGCTTTGCCGCTCGTCGCTCGTCGCTCGTCGCACGTCGCCCTGCTGCATCGCAGCACTCGCGCGCGCGCAGCGATGTCCGGCTCGGCTGGAGGACTCCTGGGCTGATCTGCAGGGCGTGGTGCCCGGGACCGAGTTGTTGGAGCTGGACGGAGAAGAAGCGCCTCTCGGCCGCGGCCCCTTCGTTCGTGCCGCCCGTACGCGTGGAGATCCGTGGGTCGTGGGACCACCCTTTTCCTTCTTGCCGCGGTTGATGTGGGCGAGTTCCGCGCCGCGAAGTCTGGTGAGGCCCCGGCAGGTTTTTGGGTTTGAAACGGGGCCCGATGGTGATCCTTTCAGAAGACGACCCGGACAGCTCACGACCCTGGGGGTTGGGGGTGGAATGGTGATCCATGACCACATGGATAGCTCACCGACATCGAGGGTAGTAGCTCACCGGATGTTCGGTGCTGGGAATATATTTACACAGCACCTGAGAGTTGCTCTTGAAAAATATGTTTAATAAATTTAATATATTATCTTTGAACAATCCATGTGGAGGTTCCCTGATTGACAAGTTGGAAAGCAGATTGCTCTATCCAGCATAGGACATGTTGATTGGAACATAGTCCTCCAGGGAGTTCATTCTCAGCACATCAGTGGTAGCTTGCAGGAGGACATCCAAAGACACCATAGATCATATCTAATCTATTTACAGTGGTTTCAGAGTAGATGGCGCAGACCCCAAGATGTCTCTTGGGGTCTGTGCTATCTACTCTCAATCCACTATAGTTTTGGTCAAGGACCACGGACCTGTGAAACAGCCTAGCCCGGGGCTCCAATTTGCATGAGCAACCATCTGGGGTCATCCTAATTCCTACAAGTAGAAACTGAAACAATTGAGACGAACCAGAAATCTGTAATATGCTTTGAGCAATGGGTGTCTCTTATTGAGGAAGCCTTCCGCACAACCCAATGAAAGGCCAAGCACCTCCTTGCTTTCACAACATGCCCCCTGGATAGTAGGGAGGTCCTTCACCATTACCCAGCACTCGATGGGTCAGCAGTTGCTGCTTTTGGTCGCCATTTTCGCATCACCCAGGACCCAGACTGCTCCTTTCTCATGTGCTGAGGCTCCCCTGATTGATCTATCAAAATGCCTCACCCTTCTCCCCCCCTCCATCGTTCCAGTGCATCGAACACAATCATCCACATGCATCGAACTTTCTCCATCGAACTCGGGATCTGGGCCTTGAAGAAACCGATGAACTGCCTGTCCAGGGGCTGCCTCACTCCAGAACACTTCCGTGAAGCCTTGCAGCGGCGCCCCCTCCGCCTGAAGCTGGCGCCGCCCTATGGCGAGGTTTGGCCGCTGGGCGCTGGAACCGGCAGGGCGGCAGACTTTTTGGGGAAAGGGCCGGGGTGGTGCCTGTGGCAACGGGAAGAGCTCAAGTTGATGGGAATTGGGATGGATGACCCCCACATTGGTCAGAAAGAGTGAAAGGCTTTGGTCAGCTTGGAATATGGCTTCTGGCAGAGTCTTGTGGCGTGACTAAATCCGAAGGATGAACTGAATTGGATCGGTTGTTTGGAATGAAGACACTGTGCATGTCATGTTCGATAGTTGCATCATTCTGCGACCTGATCGATATGGGCCTTTGAGGAAGCAAGTGGCGCACTTTCAGCAGCAGCCACTTGTTTGCAGGGAACCGCTGCTTTGGGCGATGGGTTGGCATTTCGTGCCGATGAAGTCCGGGCCGGCAGAACCTGGCTGTTCCGCCGAAACAGTGGCTCCGAGGGTCCTCGGCTGCCTGAATCATTCAGAACAAGAAGCTAGACAGGCATGGCACACAGCTTTGAACAACAAAGGGCGAAAGGTGTTTAAAGTCTTTGCTAAACATCGAAGCTGTTGAAACTGCTTGCCCGTGAAAGCACCGCACAAAGAAACCATACAGTCACTTCCACATGCCAACGAAATGGTAAACAAGATGGAAGTATCATGAAGTAGCGCTGGACTCCAAAAATCGCCGTTGGCCTGGGGTGGAAACTGGATCCCTTTGCAGTTATGCGCTGTGTTATCAGTCTACGCCTGGGATTTCAGGAATGGGAGATGTTTCAAGGCTCGAGAGGGTTGAAACAGTTCTCCGGAAATCTCGTGAAGCCTTTGGAACCATCAACCATCGGGCCCACAAGAGCTCATTTGCCCAAGAGGCCGTGGCCGGGCATGGATTACTTTCTTTTGGACGTCTGACTGGGGTGGCAAGGTTTGGTTGCAGATGTTGGCTCAAGCTCATCACACCAGCACAGTCCGAGCAATAGTCAGAAGCAGTCCTCAGAGTGTGTGGCTTTCCACAACTGGGTGCTTGTATGCTTGTACATGTAGACTACAAGCCCTCCCATTGGCGAAAATGTTGAAAACAAACAGGCAGTTGCCAGCACCAACTCATGACTGAGGATCAGTGATTGTTTCCCATTGGTCACAGGGAGGACAAACACGACTCCCTTTCGCAGCTCCAGCTGTGCCGCCCTATACCGTTTCCTCCGTGGCGCCCCCGTGGCGCCTCGGTGCCATGCAGAGCCCAGATGATGGGCTGAGGCACTTGACCGTCAGCGAGGTGGATGGCAATCTCGCTAAGGCGACTTTCGGGGTCTGAACCGGAGGAGGGATGGGGATTTGGACCTCCATCATTCCAAAGGGCCAATCTTTCAACCACCAGGCAAATCGTTCTGAGCCCGGATCATTTTCAGTAAAGCCCTTGTTAAGGGCTTCATGCGGGCTTCAGGGGAAACATGTCTTAAGGACTCTTGGACCTTTTTCTCATTTGGATTCTTTCCTTCACAAATCACTGACCTGGTTTCCAGGACAAGAACTTCAACATTGAGCCTCACCACCTGGACCTGGACCCCGCAGAATCACCTGGACCGGGTGAAACCGCTTTGTCCGTCCTCTCTCGCAGGCAATGGCCCACAGCAATGAGTTGGAGCAGCGAGCTCGACAGCTCCAGGCTCACTTTCAGCAAGCGCAGAAGGGGATGATGGAAATCAATCGCCTGTGTGACTTGGACTGCTCAAGGGTGAAGATGGGTGGAGATGGGTGAATTGGCTACTACTAGACGAGAAACTCCCCGTTGTTGCGGTTTGGAATCAGAATATCATGGATCATCATGGCATAAGGAGTACGTTCCAGAGTGCAGGGAACAAATCCAACTTTTGAAGCAAATCATTATTTGGGTCTATGGCATGGCGTTGTGCCGTTTTCCCTGGTGTTGTTTCCAACTTTAGGTCCTTGGGGCAGTTGTTCACGATTTGTGGCTAAATAACTAGTCTAAATAAATACTCTAAGCCCACCACCCAGTGTAGCAGGCCCATCCAGCAAGAGTCGCTTCGACCATCAAGCTCCGCCCAGCCAATGGGCCCTGGAATCCACCCTAGTGACCCTAGTGGACAAACAGTGCCAAAAAAAAACAGTAATGCATATCAGAACCACCCACGGGGGTTCCAGGATTTCCCAGGTATATATTGTCTCGGGTTGGTCCCATCACCTTACCTATAACATCCTACAACAAACTGTAACACTCGGTCAATATTTATCTCACTATTTTAGAGGAGGCCTTTAGTAACCATGATGCAAGGCCTTTGATATTGCTATAGGAAGGACTGCTCACTGCTGATGGCTCCAACTAGTGAACTGCTCCAGAAGAGGGAAAAAAGAGGGTAAACAAAACCGAGGGTTTGTTGCAGCTTGCACCCTCAATAAATCTCAGGTGACCAAGCCGATAACACCATCATCCAGGGCCAAGTCCTGCTGAACCGTTCTGCACATCGCCTGCATGAGCTGAACGAGCGCCTCCAACAGCTGCAGCCCAGTGGAGTTCCCGAGAGCCCACCGGTCTCGAAGGCGAAGCCCAACGCAACGGTGCGCAGACCCTCCTCGAGCCGCAGCAGCTTGAGGTAAGGGCTTCATGGTAGATGGACCAGCACGTGAATTGGAGATGACACTGGTGGCATCAGTAATTAGTGCCAAAGTGCCAGATGCACCAAGATGCTCGTTTCACCCCATGACGGCAATCAGTTCGAAGACATGGCAGTTCTGACTCGATGTGATTGATTTGGGGGGGAGTGAAGATGCCTAAGCCGACTCCAAGTGCTCATCCAACCCGACTCCAAGGGCTGTACGTCTTGGGCTGCAACGTCTTGGGCTCATTCTACAATGGTTAGTGGACCAGGTATTGTATCCTATGTGTCGCTTGCACAAAGCCCGCCGGGTAGGAGTTGCAACATATGAAAACTGCGCGAAAGAAGGTATTGGGGAACATTTGTTTACCAGATTTTGCCAGAAGAACGGTTAGCAGTTTAGCACCAAATTTGATTTTAGATTTTCGGTGGTGAGTCATGCATAGCACAGCGCACAGCACTTTGATACTATGATTACTATACTTTTAATATCTCTATCTCTTAATATCGTTTAAAGTTTGTTGCTTTCCTTTTTCCGAATCCAAAAAGTTCTTCCCGACTTCCTGTGCGGAAGGCAACGTGTTTCTCCAGGCCACTTTCTCCTTGCAGTGATCATTTGCTTTTTGCACCAGTGGTGTGTCAAGCGCAACCTGTGTTTCAAGATCGGCATGGCCTAACAACACATGTGGCGCCACGGCTGGCCGTGGTCCTGTCGTTGTTGAACCCTTCCCGTATGGAGGTTTCGACCGTGTCAACTCGTGTCGACCGTCGACCCGGCCGTGTTTCTTTCGCTCGTCTAATCCAAGAGATGACGGGTGAGTGTCTCTCTTCGCCGTTACTTCGTCTTCAACAACATGCGTTCGCTTCCGAGCAGTGCCATTAAAAGCGTTCAGCAGTGCCGTATGTGCACTGCAGCCACATCAGCCACTGCGTGCACCGCTTTCACCGCTTTCTGAGGGTGGTGGCCTTGAGCTTGCAGAAGGCGTAGGGACAATGGGGACGAAGTCCGATGGGACACAGCAACCTTATTGAGGAGTGACACCTAATTTGTTGGCCGACCTCAGTAGCTGTTTCATACCGGGAAGGGAAAGTAGAAAGACCAATGAGGCAATGATTAAGAGTCCACCCACCTCACTTGTTGAAGTCTTGGACGGCTAAGAAGCGGTGACTTTGGTTGGGGGTGTCCAGCAAAACCCTGGCTTCCGCAGCGGAGGGGTACAGATGATAGACCTCAGCGAATGGTTGAAATGGAGTTGCCCTTCATGTCACTGGACCACTTCACAGGACCAACAAGCATATGCAAAGCCATCATCAGGGCGGAAGGGAGAGAGGCGGAGAATGGGGACGTAGTGATTGAGGTTTTTTGGAACATCCATTTTCGGGTTCCAACTTGATTCTTCACCTTGTTTTTGGAGCCTCACGCCAGGCTCACTCAGTTTCATTTGGAGTGGAGTTGTCCAATTTATCCCGTTTGCTGCAGAAAGTCTGAGAAATGCTCCAAATAACTAGATCCAAATAGATCAGACAGACATAATTCCACTACTTTCGATGTGTTCAACGAATATATACAATATTATTTGACTTCAGAACGTTTGGACATCATTTGCCTTAATCTGTTGAACACTTGCTTTGAGGATTCACTTCATTCTCATGAGGGGTGAGAAACTCTCCACGTTTCAGCACACCAGGTGCACCTTCAGCAAGCTCTGAAGGATGAAAGCGACCGCGTCATGCGAGAGCTCGTCACTTGGAGAGGCTAAGATGGTCCTGAGGGAAACTATACTTCCCTGCAGAGGACTACGGACCCCCAAAACCACTGGGCCGTAGTACGGCGGCTTGCCTTCCACCGGTCCATTCGCAGGTTCCATGGGATCGTTGGTGGGACATCCCAGGACATCCCAGGACAGTCTGACCTGGTCCTTTCGGGATGTGATGGTCTCGCTCCAGGTACCAACGCTTCCTTAGAGCTAAAGCTCGCGATGAGCCCAGCCACAATGGACGTTCGTTCGGCCTGGTCTTCATGATCTGTCATGAGGGGTCTCATGACACCCCCTCTAAGACATCGGACACCTCCCTCTCAAGCAAACCATTGATGGTTTGCTTGAGATGTCCTTTCAGGTCCTCTCGAGATCAAGCAAACCTTCATGGCTTTCAGAAAGAGCTTCTGCTCGGAGCTCTCCTGAAACAGGTCCGAAATGGGTCCTCCACCGCAGACCACCCGAGAAGCGCAGACCTCTTCGATCTTCGACCTCGTCCTCGTCTCACCCGGGGTGGGAGCGAAGAAGTCGTGTGCTGTGCCCAGGGCATTTGCACGGAGCTGGAGAAGTCCAATAGCCTGCAGCACAAGGTGTGTGAGTTGTTCGGACAGGACTTGGGAGAGGAAGGAAGACATTGGGATATCGAGATGATGTGAGGCAATGATATGATCTTGAAAACCTGAGTGCGTAGAATCTAGTGAACTTCTCGAAGGGTTGGCAGTAGGTTCGTCATCCCCATCCTGCTTCTTTCTTGCGTTGATCAGGCCCTCCGGTGCCAGGACCTTCGCCGTTCGTGAAGCCGGCTTCCGTGTTCGTGTTCGCCTCGTCTTCAGAGGCGAAGCTGCTGAAAGATCAAGCTCAACAACTCCAAGAGAAGAGGGACTTGGAGGAGGAAGTGGAAAGGCTCCAGGCCGCGTCTCGGGCTTCACCCGCTTCGATCGACGCGAAGCGGCTAAGCCGATTATAGTGAAATAGGTCAGAGGGGCCCACATGTGGCTGATTTGTCCTTCTTTGCCCAAGCAAGCTCGGCTGCAGAACTGGACTTTTGTCAGCTGCTGAGCTGCACTTTGGTCGCGAAGATGCTTGCAGGACTTGCCCTGCGAGCTGACAAGGGGTTTAGAAAAACGGATGACTGGCTGCCTGGTCAGGTGAGGATTGGATCTGTCAACCAACCTTTCCGCTAATTCCGACCGTTCCGGACACCGGTTCCGCTCGCCGGTGCAGGTGGAGCTAGAGACCTCTCATGCAGAACTGGCTTCAGAGCGGCAACAGCTCGAAGAGGAGAGGAATAGGTGGCAGGCAGCCGACTTCAGATGGTCAGAGGTTTAAAGAACATCATGAATCACGCCAGACTCTATCAACTTCTGTGTTTTGTAGTCATGATGCTAATACCTACTATTTGATTCCTATGGTTTGGGAGAAGCCTCTTTGATCATGCATTCTTATTGCGCTTTTCTTCATGTTCTTGCAATTGCTCAGCTGGATCATGGAGGAATGCATTGGTCAGTAGCGTGAGTTCACTGTGGATTGAAATCTGTCCAAACTCTTTGGCCATACAAACTGGCCTTTCACTGGTTTCATCATGGACTTGGGGCAGTTGGATGCCCTTCATGTTGAGCTTTCCTGTGCTCCCTGTGCTCGTTTCTGTGTGTTGTTCCCCCGCGGCGCCAGCTTTGCTCCAGGCGGAGTTGGAAGAGTCTCATCGGCGCCTGGCCTCCGAGCAGCAAAGCATGGAGGACGAGAGGAAAGACTTGGAGGCGTCGGACCCTGCCATGGTGGAAAAACACATAAAGCACGCATCCGACTGCAGGGCGGACCAAGTTTGGAACATCTATATACTGGCTGGCGGTTTCAGATGTTGTTTATACAATGTTGCTGTGATGTTTCACACCTTACTTTGGATGATTGAACCATGCTGCACCCACTTTTATAGCTCGATGCATCTTTAGTCAAGCGACTTGAAGCCAACCGGTTGAAGCTCACAGCTTGGAAGGCCTGGTCGTGATGGTGCTGTCAAGATCGCCCGCCTAAAACCGGTGCTGAGAGATCCCAATTTACTTCAGCACATCAGCCCAAATCTGTTGAGGAGAGAGAACTCTTATAGATTCGATATTTCGATAGAGGTTTTGATGGTTTTGGGGTTTTCAACATGCCGTTTTCACAACCCAGGTCCCAGTGGTGTGAGGTGTGTTTTGTCCTATGCTTGCCTTCTTTCATCTTCTTTCTGTAGCAGGGATGCAGTCCTTCAGCTTTCACGTCACATTTGATCCATATGATGATCCATCTCTTAACTTCTTAGCACACACACAAACCCATCAGAGTACTCATCAGCTTTCCACCACCCCATCTCTTGTTCTTGGGGCTCAACCGCCTGCAGCCTTTCTTATTGAACTGTCATCCGGCTTCCGTCAGGGTTTTCGGCCGTGGTTTGGAACGGTGCGAGCGCAGGCCAAACTGGACACAGCCACTGCCTCCTGGAGCTCGCAGAAAGAGCCGCTCGGTGGGTCGTGTTGCGTCCTTGTTACTAGTAGCGATGCCCTCGGTTCTAGTAGCTTCTTGCTCCTAGTAGTAAGGCCAGGAGCTACTGTAGCGTCCTTGCTACTTGAAACTTGGGGGGTTGGGCCTGGGATGGATTTGGGTAGAATGGGATCAACCTGGGACCATGAGAAAAGCACACTGGGTGGTAGATGTGAATAGTCTTGCGGGGGGTGAACTCGTTTTTACACCATTCATTGAACTCATGAAGGCGGATTATTGAACTCATGGGGACAGATTGGCACCGAACTTGGTCCATCGGCGGTGTGAGACTCGTCCACAAAAGACGTGACGAGTCTCACAACTAGGTCAGTGGACCGGTATGCCCGACCTCGGTGTGAGAGAATGGGGTGGGCAGCACAGAACCGGTGCTGCACTTGATGCACGGACGAGGATTTGTGTGACACCCTTGGAAACTGATAGGATGCGGTTTTAGGGTCCGATGGCAAGGGCGAGGATGCTTGCAATAGATACCAGGCTTTATTTTATCCACTGCTCGTGTGACATGCGAGCGGTTGTGGTTTGCAACAGTGTGATTCTAGGTCATGAAGCGGAGACTGGCGATCCAAGGCGCATGGAAGAGGAGAAGAGTGAGATGCAGGCAGGACAACCCGCTGGAGATAGACATTTCATCCCAGCTGGACTGTGCATACTTTCCATGCACCAGCTTGTTAGACATGGAAGAGGCACCATGTGCAATCATTTGTCGGCACATGTCGCCACAAACATGTGCCTTTCCATACGCCAGCAAGATCCAGCAAGCATAATAGCAAGCATACTTCAGCGTATAGTGGCCCCCAAGTAAACAGTGGCCCGGTTTCCAATACATTTTTGGTGGGGATCTTCTTTTCTATCTATTTCAGGACCACTATATATATATATAGGAGAGGCCCTTGAAAGTAATCTTTTTAGGTTTCAATCGTTCAAATTGGCCACTGACCGAGATCATTCTTAAACTTATCCATGTCACCTCCTCACTGACCCGTGTCACCGCACCCCTGTTCGTTCCGTGTCACGAAACACGCGGACCTGAGAGCCGGGTCCCCTTTCTTCAAGCCGGTGGACCGTGATCCAGAGGATCGCCAGCTTCAGAACCCGAACGGCGCACAGCTTCACGGTGACTGAAAAAAGAGCAAGGCTTATTCATGTGGCAGAGCCCCATACTGAACAAGACTTCTTGATGTGGAGAAGGACCGCATAGGACCGCCCTGCCAATGGAAAACTGGAAGCACCGCCCTCGAAAGATTCAGCCGCAGGGTTCGACATGCTCGCTGAACCGATCACTGGGATGGCGGCGAGGTCCGACTTGTTTGAGGTCTTGACGCCGTGACGCCGGCTGTGACATGGTCTCTTTTTCATGTGGGGGGGCATGCAAGTGAGCAAGTGACTACAACAGTTCCTTCCTGAGGCCTCAATCTCTGAGCTACAAGCGGAGCTTCAACGATGTAAGGCTGAGCTTGCTGCTTGGACAATGAGTTTTGGAGGTGAGATGTCCGTCCTATGGATGCCTCAATGGCTCACTAGAGGCCTTCAGAAACAGTTGGGTAAAACATGGTAAAACACTCAGCCCCCTCAATGGGATTGCACAGCTCCAGAGGCCTAAAGTTGAAACTGGTCTTGCAGAAAGACCATTGGAGTGTGGCCAGTTGCCACAAATTTTAACGACGTCCGCTACGGGTCGATTCATTTGTCCGGCATGTTTTCTGGAAGTGGCACAAAGAACCAAATAGAGGCGAACGTTACGAAGGCGAATGTGAACACCACGGGGCAATATTCAAGGACCGTTGAGAATGCGCCTGCCTACCCTGTTTTGCTGGTTACTCGCGTGCAAAACATGTCCAACACCTGCACGGCTTCTGAAACAGACAGAAGTCAAATGATGTCAAACGTTTGATCACAGCCAATTTCTGATCATAGTCAGTCATATGGCCCCTTGTTTGGTCATAGTCAAACCTGAAATTGAATATGATCCTCCAATGATCCCAAACCACCCGCACCTTTGGCCCCAGCCCAGGCGGTGACAGCGCAGTCGGAAGAGTTCAGGCAGGGTTCCCAAGATCTTGGAGACAGGAAGCGCGCATAGCCACACAGACGGACAAGCCCATGACATTTTGTTGGAGGGAGCAGGTTGTTGTGTTGGACTAATGCATTACAGTACAGTACACATTGATTTAAGGTTAATGTATATAAATCTCCATTGGGCAAGTCTTGGATGGTCCAGGTCTATACGGTATACGGTATGTTTACAAATCTCATCAAATCTCTATCCATACCGTATAGACCATGCAGCCCATGCACCATCTTCGTGGCCAGGGCGAAAGTCATCGCACGACGTAATCATGGGACTTATATTAATGGCATGTGCAACAGTACATGCCACGAACACAGTGCACACGTCTTTGTCCAACAAAGAGGGGCTAAGGTACTTGATTGCAAAATGCAAAGCAGCAATTTAGTTCCGTGTCCATGTCAACCTTGGTTCCTGTTTTTAGTCAACCGGCAGATTGGCCACTGTCCTCCAGATTCCAGATGGTCGGTCAAAGGAGGAATGTTCACTTGAGGTCTGCAGCGGAGTTCAAGCAGGCCGGTTCCGCCGAAGGGATTTATAACGCTTGAACTGGGTTTTCCAGCAAAATGCACATACTAAATTTAATTGATTAATCATGTAATTACATCGTTTTCATGGCTGCCCATGGATGTGCGTGGAGAGCGGCAGAGAGGGGTTGGTTGCTCACTAATCCAAGCTCCGACAGGAAAGAGGTGATGTTGGCCAACTCTCTTGCAGTATACTGTAATCTGGGAAGCCTATGACACATGACCGTATTTTTGCATCAATTCCCTGAAGCTGCCAGAGACATCGCTTTTTCTCGATAATGCACAGTCAGAGTTAGCAGCACTTGCTGGTGCTGCTTGCGCTTTCGCCTCAAAGGGATGAAATTGGAAGTCCCTTCATGTTCTAAAGTACTTGCACAGGCTCGCTCCCACGTTATCCCTTATTCATCGAGCGGGGGCATGTACAATTGCAACTTTGCAACCAAACATGGCTTGCAAGTTGCTGTTGGCTTAATGAAAGCGCACGGTTTCCAAAACACTTGATTCCCACAAACCATTGTCCCCTTTTTAGACTTCAGTGACAAGGTGTTCCTTTTGTTTAAGCTGGGTGCTGGGTTCCCACCCACGATCCCGCCGGATGGAGCGAGCGTCCGTGCATGGAGCGAGCCACCGCGCTCAGGCGGAGCTTGAAGCGGAGAAACTGCGCTGCAGCGCAGAGAGGGAGGAGTCTGAGGCGCCAAGCGCTTTGGGTCGGCGTGCGAGGCGCATGAGGTTGTGCTGGAGTTTGTGCTCAGTTAAATGGAGACATTTTCAAGAAGCGCCAGCCTCCAAAACACTGCAAGGATAGCAACAAAGACTTCGGGCAAGCACTGTCAACCTTTGAAGAAATGTGAGCAAGGACTTGGTAAGTTGAAGAATTGAAGTTAATGTGGATTCCCAACATCTTAGAAGCACGTCAAAAAAATCACTCAACTGCCAAAGCTTGTCGAATATGAAGCTCGGCTGTTCACCCTGAGGTGTTGCGAAGAAAGCTGCAGGACACCTGGGGATTGAACAAGCCGAGGGGTCCTCGGAGAGGAAACTATGCAACGATAGATGACATGATCTACGTACCAGGACCCACGCGCTCGGGGTGGTTGATGGACACCCCGAAAAAGCCGGGGCTATCAATGGCAGCTTCAATATCCGTCCAGGTGTCCTGGCATCACTCATAGTATTCAATATCAGTTTCAATATCTTGCTTTGCTTCCTGCGGGGCGCGAGGCTGGCTAAAAGGACGGTGCCAGGTGACTTGTGGTGGCCTTGTAGCTTTGGGCTTGGCTGTTATGACTTGTGGTGCTTCTTCTGTTTTCGAGGTTGCATAAAAAACACACATATAATATCATATATAAATGTTTCAGGTCTGGCAGGCTTGGGTGAACAGAACATGGCTTCATTTCTACCATAGCTTGATAACTAACGAATATTTTGGCTCAAGTGCCTTGGCCAAACTAGCGTTTGTTCTCTCTTTTATGCATATATGCAATTCTAAGGCCAAATGTTAGGGGTTGACTCCTTGCTCGCCGAAGGAGGAGCCAGATTTTGATAGTGGCTTATGACTTTTGGTTGCTCCTCGGAACCTCAAAAAGTAAAGAAAACACACAGCACACACACACAACAAATAACTCGTACTGCTAAAGACGGTCCTTGAAAGGGATGTGCAGGTCCTTGGGTCCAGAATCAGGTCCTCCTGCACTGTCCGAGGTGGTTTTGAGGCGGTTGGTCAGGGAAGGACTGAGGTCCTTCCAGTCAGTGTATTCCCATCAACCTCAAAGGTTTCATGAGGGGTAATCCTTAACTCGACAGATAGGCAGAAAGTCACTGTAGTCGGCTCTTTTGGCCTGTGCATGCGGAGGAGCAAGATGCTCATGTACAAGAGGTGTGGAAACGGCGACAGTGGGCATTGGTAGTGCAGCTGAACCGGGGAATTGATCCAACAGCAACGGATGTCCCCAAAAGTCGTATGGCCAGGTGGCAGAATTCAGAATATAACAACTCAAGACACCTTCAGCATGCTGCTCATGACTTGATCCCCTTCAAGCTTCAAAGCCTCGGCCAACTGGATGGGGGAGAGGTCCAATCCGGGCTCCAACTACCTCCCCTCCAAGCTCTGAGGAACCCGTCCAATCCTCGCTGGGCTCCGTTCGCCGGGCGCCCGCTCACCGTCTCCAGGTGAACGCCGAGCTCTCCAAAGTGCGTGGCTTTGGCTGAAGAGCCGCGCTCCGACGTGGCGAGCTCGGCGCGTCGGCACAAGCGTTCGAACGGCGGGGGCTTGAAGTGGTCGATGAGGGTCGGGGGTGGGAGAGGTGTATTAATAGTTCAACTAGTGAGACCTCCCAGGCAAGGACCTCCCTGGGTTCGGTTCGGGACAAATCGACCAGTCTACCCAGTCTACCCAGCCTACCGGGCCAGGGGGTCTCCTTATTAAAATGCACGCCCATCGTTGTTCCCATCGGCTTGGTAGCTGGCGCAACCTCACCTCCCAGCTGCCTTAGGGCCAGGTTTGGCGGGGATATGCGGGGATGAAACCACCATGGAGTGGTTTCCATGCCTCATTGAACCCCAATCCGTGTTGAAACAGTGAAAATCCACCGGGGTAGTGCCACAGGTTTGTGTGGTGCTTGCTGGTGTTTTTGGAGCCTGCTCCCAGCCTGCAGGGGATAACGAATTTACTTTCCACCCACAGTACGGGGTTGCATATGAGCCTCTCATGTATGTCAGGGATGTCTAATGATATCTCTCTCTCTATATATATCTTCTATAATTGTATTTCCTAGCTAGTCCCTGCTGCCCAAATCAGATGCATTTGACCAAGGAAAAGCGCTCTTTCATTTGCAGTGGCTGCAAAAGATGATGTAGTCTACATTCTGAATCACACCGATCCATCAAGCTCCTTCAAGCATTGGTTCGATGCACTCTGAACCGTCCAACCCATGCCATCAGAGGCTGAAGAACCCTATAGACTTGTTCCATAGGTACCCCAGCAGGTCCTCTAATGGTCACATATGCTCACTTAACCTCTATTGGACGCCATGCCGCCCGGATGCCGCCACGCTACAGAGGCCTTCAACTCGCCTCCACGCGGCCCAGCTTAGAAGCGCTTTTGGCCGAACTGGCCGGGGAAACACAGATCTGCCCGCTCGCGTGGGCGTGTGGGTGACAGATGGTGAGCTTTGACCGCAGGAGGCTGATGGAGTCACCGGGAGAGAAAAAGCCTTGCAAGCAAGTAAAGGACCTTCAAGAAAGTGAATGAACTAGGAGCAACTTAGGATGAAGTCATTTTTCACCCTCCTCACTAATTCCTTTCGGGTGTTCCTTTCCCTCCCATGGCCAAGCCCAAGATCTGCCTCGTCCTGGCCCACACCCACGCGTCCTACGCGCCATCGTCTTGACACGCCGCTCAGGCCACACCGGAACTCTTCAAAGTTGAGAGCCCGGCGCCGGTGTCGGCCACGACGGGGCTTGGTCCGGGCGTGACGCCTGCGGCACGGCGGAGCTTCCAGCGGAGAAGCCTTGTGCTGGGGGGCCTTGTGCGATCGATCGGAGCGCCCAGAACGAGAGGACAGCGGGCCAATGCGGGCGAAAGGTAATATATATATATATATACGATATAATATGATATGTGAACATCAATAAAGATTATAATTAATTAATGTGAACATTAATCAAGATACATTAATTTTGTTGGTTCTGAGAGAGTCCGTTTGTTGGCATGCTTTGGCATGCACCCCCTCCGATGTGCGCCATCGGTCCCCATGCCGGATCCGGCGTGTCACGGCGCGTGAGGCCAGCGGAGCCAGAGAAGGTGCAGGCAGACTCCGAGGAGGAGATGTTCTGAGAAGGATAGCTCCTCCCTATCCCCCCGCCTATTGGTGTACATGGGGGGGTACCTCGGTACCTGAGAAGGTCCCGGCAGATGATCGAACCCCCACGGTGTCAGGTCCAGAGGCCGAAAGAATGCCCACGGCTGAAGAGGTTTCGACGTGTCATACGACGTGGGCTGTGATTCCAGTTTGACCCCGGAGCACCTTTCAGAAACTAGCAACTCATCGTTTTCGGTGATAGGTGATAGCGCGAAATAGGTAGAGCAGTGATGCCTCTCTCGAATCTATGCTGGAAAGCAGTTTTTCTTCATTGATCACCTTTAACTTTAAGCGAATCCGTTTTGTTGACCAAGGCCAGATCGGACGGACTCAATATTTCTTATATGCAATATGCTTCAGCCAGAATGGGTCGCCGGCCGGGCCTGCGGATGAAGCGCCCCAGGTGCCCCAGTGACATGGAGAAAACGAGATCGGTTCGATGGATTACGGTCTTTGATTCTGATTCCCCCATGTGAACAGTGTGACTCAATATGACTGGTTGTTCTGTGGCGGTTTAGCTTGCATTAGGCACTGTGAAATTCCACAGAACTTGACATGTTGCCATGCTAATCAATTATGTAATTGTGCTTTCAGGAATCCCAAGTGCTGATGAAGACAATACTAAGCGTGTTGGGAACACTGAATTCCTTTTCAAGATTGGTGCTATTACTGCCTCAACGTCGTTTTGGGTCCAAACATGCTTCAGGTCCCTCCATGCCCGTCAGTTCATTTGGCGAGACATGGCGAGACGCCTTTGCGTCACCTGTACACCGGGCGTGTGTTCGGGAGCGTTCAAGCTGAAAAGCGGCTTGAGGCGCGAATTGCTTTGTGACCCCTGTTTGGGGGTGAGGACTGAGGGTCAGACTGAGGGTGAGTGCCAGCAAGAGCAAGTGAAGGGGAGCAGGCGTTAATTGTTTTTGGCAGAGCATTTAAGGACATTGCAGCAAATTTTTGACAATGGAGCCTGCAGACCCTTGTTGGAAGGCCAGACCCTAAGCACCCAACCAGTATAGCTTTGTTTGCTTCACAGCGGCCCAAAACCAGTCTTGCCTCTGTTCATGGTCCAACGACTGCTTTGCTGACAATCGAAGGCTGAGGAGAGGTCTATGCGACGCAATGCGCCTGATGTGCTTCATCGTCCGCCCTTGGCGCACGTACCACTGGTAGTGGATGGAATGGATGGAGAGTAGATGGCACCATCCCCAAGTTCCCATCTAAAAGACATCCAGGGGCTTGTGCTATCGAACCGTTGAAACCACTATACCCAGACACTCCATGTATGGAATATATGCCTACATTGGCCCCCCAAACCACTCCAACTGATCGGCATATATGGCATACATGGAGCGTTTGGGATATATAGATTGAAGTTGTCCTACAAACAGTTCTACAACTTTACAGCCACCTGGCAAGTTGGGCTGAAAAACATATACCTGTAGGGCACCGGTCGTAGGAGCAGACGTTTGGACAGATGGCAACTGTTCTAGCCTTGAACATGGAAGAGACGCAGCGCCAGGACAAGATGTGATGTAGCTTTCAGATCCTTCGAAGAGCTTTGCTTAGCAGCTCCTTCCAAGGTGGTCACCCCCCAAATGGAATACCACATAATACATCATAATACCACGCAAAATCTCAACAACACATGATCCCATGCTACACTGGACACAAACATGAATGTGAATCCCCACAGACCTGCGAATCCCCACGGCTCCGGATGAATCATCGGACTGTCGAATGTGGATTGCGGGCCGCAATCAACGGTCAGGATCTATCCGAGCGACCTTGGAAAGGGCCAAGACAAGGGGAGGACAACAGCAGGACGAGAGAGGAGGACAACAGCAGGGCAAGGACAGGCTTAGCAAACATCCATGTCCAACCCTGCCTGCCCATGTCCAACCGCATGCGGCCGATATATCTATCCTTTGGCAGATCCGGCGGGCGTGGCTGGAGGAAGTGAAGGACGGTGCCGCAGTTTCAGATCGTTTCCCAAGTGCCCGCGTGGAAGCCACGGGTGGTGCCATGGCTCGGCTGCGGCAAGCATCCATTCTGATGGTGCTGGTGCTGGCCATGCTAGCAGACGCTGGGCAGATCTGGGCGGTTCTTTGATGTTGGTGGCCGTAACCGTGAAGCTACTTTTGCAAACGGGTTGGCATGTATGTCATAATAATACTCGTATACACGTTACGTACAACCCAAGCAACCGCGTATACGTGGGACAGAACCATCCCTAGGAGTCTTAAGGGATGGTTTGTGGAGTGGCAGGGGTTCCCGAATTCTCCTCACTTGGAACCACGCATAAGACCTCATCGTAACCTATCGTAACCTCCAGAGCTCGCACAACCATACCCCAGGGAGATTTGGGGAAGTGAAACAAACCCAAACACTCCATGGGACTGCCACATATGCCTATTATTGACCCCCCCAACTATCCCAACTGAACGGCATATATGGCAGTCCCATGGAGTGTTTGGGAAACTGTTCACCGCCTGCTCCTCACTGATCACTATCCTGTCGACGCCCAGCCATGCCCAGGCCATGCCCAGCTTCTTGATGCCACCGGCCCCGAACGGCGCCCGTGCGTATGCGCTTCGGGGCCACACAGACACGCGCGTCGAAGCGGCGGAGTTGGCCAGCGCTTTGCCAGTGGCCACTGGGCCTCCAGAGTGGTTGGCAGATGCCTCTTTTTGAAAAAAACATCAGGATAAGGCTAGGATAAGGCTGGTTTGGCAATTGCACAGCTATGGGCTGGGGGGTTCTCTACAACCCCATTGTCCCATGGCTTTTCAAGTGCCTGTCGTATCAGTAGTTGATCATCCTTACTGTAAATTGGAATATTTACTGGGACTTGTCCGAGAACTTGCTCCGACGTGCCTGTTTGATATTTGAGGACTGTTCAAGGAGTAACCTCCCATGTTTCAGAGGAATGGGCAAATGGAAGACAGGGTTGCGGTTTTCACTGATCAAGACAGAGCACCATGGATGCCATCCTGGTTTTCTTTCAGAGCCTTCCCTCTCCATTCGGACCTGCGCATGACGCAGAGGCTTTGGGGGCTGGGCTCATGTTGGCGCTTACCCTGCTCGTGCCGGCCACCAACCGCTACGAAGCCAAGGCCGCTACGAAGCCATGCGCGTGCGCTTCCGTTCGTGGAGGGGCATGGGTCCAGCACTGTTGAAGTACGAGGTGCTAAACATAACTTATGGCCAGGAGTCACAAAGGGGTGGTGTTTTGGTCCCTAAGTGAGTGGATAGTGGGCACCCCTACCCTCCATTAAGCACCCCTTTTGTGACTGCTGGGGGAATTCTAATATTTTAGTTTGCACTCTTCAGTGACCTGGAGAATGACTTCTTGGAAGACGACATTTCGTTAGACAGACACCAGGGGATGTCCACATCCCTGTGATGTGTTCGTCAGGGTGTAGCCCTTGTATGCCCTTGTTGCATTTGTTGGACTTCGGCTGTGGCTGAGTTTTTCACTAGAGACATGCAGTTTCATATTTACTAATCATCATCCACTGGGCCCTCGTAATGGGATATACCCAAATGATCACGATTCACGATTTCTTGTGGGAGACACCCGAACAAGTACCCGAACAACATGCATTCACCTAGTTTCGGAGTTCACATGAAGGACCCTCCAAGTGGTCAACACAGACTGCCGATTCCGGCATCGCCCCAAACACATGGACGATGGACCTGTTGAGTGGTGTTTTGGGACCTGTTGAGTGGTAGCCCACCAGCTGTAGCTACTGCGGACTCCGCGGGTTCGGTAGGTCCACCCGTTTCGGCTCGGCTCGGCAAGGACTGCCAGGGCCCGGCTTCTCACATTGCGAGAGATATCCAGCGGGACGAGGCCGTGTTTGTGCGGCACAACGAGGAACGCCTTGGCCAGGCGGGGGGGGATTAGTGGACGTTAAGAAAATACATAAAAGAGTGCGAGGCTTGTACTGAGATGGGGAGTCATTTCTGTTAGTTTTACAGGTATGTGTACCTCGGCTTTCCTCTTAGTCTTTGGTTGTGCAGACAAAGGGCCTTTTGGATGCGTTGGTATGCACTAGGTATGCACTAGGTATGCACCAGGTTAGGATAGGATGATGTTGGAAGGCACCAGAGATGCAAGTATTTACGGTTTTATTTGCTTTGCCCTGCAGGGGGGTTCGCATCAAAGGGGTTCAAAGTTCAGACTTGTGAATGGTTTGGCCTTTGGGCTGATGGGGCGAGGTGGGAGACAAATACAATCACTATTGGCTATCCAGCCAATAGAAAGGGATGTGTCCATTGTCCACATCAATGTTGGTTGGATAGAAGAAGGTTTCTTCCGCAGTCAGTACATCCTGGGAACCATTGGGGTGTTGGACAGAGACTGCTCAGGTTCAGCATCACTTGAATGCAAAACACTTACGTGACCACTCATCGTGGTCACCACCACTTCAAGGACTCGTGGTTCGCAAAGCCATTCATTGTTGACTTCAGGCTTTGCAAACCTGTCCGGGGCTCGCGGCGCGGTGCATGAAGCCCTCCAATTGGCCAGGTCACCCCAGTAGTTCTCGGTCACAATTCGTTGACCCTGGTGACTGGTGTTCTCAGCCCGTTCTCTTCTTTACAGTGCTTTCAGAATACTTTAGAATGGGTGTCCATGTAATTAAGCCACCCAACTTGGGAATTGTGCCATCTACTCTTGAAACCTTTGTAAAACCTTCCGGAAAGCAAGCTCATGACTCAATCCTTGAGCCAAGACTTCGCGGCAGGTGAGACAGAAGTTGAGGGAACATGCCAAGGCACGGGGTGTCATGACGTGTATAGCCGAACAACACCGTAGGGACCTTTGGTCCCTTTTCCCTTGAGCCACGTGCACATGCATTTGGTAATTAAGTAATGCAGAAGATTCCATAATTTGGAGTTCTTTCGTAGTTCATGCGCATTCATCGCGGAGTTGGATGTTGGAATATGCACAACCGCGAAAGTCTGGCGGAGCGCCTGGCCTGGAGCGCCTGGCCTGGTCAGGTGGCTGTTGACCGACGCCTGTGCTTGGAGTTTGACATAGACCCAGTTTGAATTATGTGCCTGAGACAATCTTGGGTTGCACAATTAATGAGGGGTTCAA